GCTCTGACTGAACTTAGCCAGCCACAGTCAGGCTCCAAGAGGGGAGATGACCTGGGCTGATGGCTCCCTTTCCTCTGTTGGCCCTTCCCTTTTGGGAGAGCTCTTATGTCAGAAAAGTCTCAAGTCTGTTAGATTGGGAGTCCCTGACTCCCAGCCCAAGGAAGCAGCCCTAGGAAAGGAGAGGATGCAATTTCCCAAAGCTACCTCTTACCGCTTCCCTCCCCCAATCTCATCCCTCCATCTATTGGTGAGAAGCCTCCTAAAGTTGGCCTGAGGCTCCTGAGGGACTGGTTCCACCGGAGTCTTTAACGAGGACCCCATCCTCCTTGGGACCTGCAATAGTGATAAGAATCAGAGCACAATCCTCAAATAATTCCCACAAATTTGGAACTGATTCTTAACTAAAACAAAAAAAAAAAGAAAGAAAGCTTTCTATCCAAAGGATTCTGTGCTCTGCAAGGAAGAAATACCTTGTCTAAGGGTTAGCTTCTTCAGAAAGAGAACTAGGAGGAATCTGCCTTCCAAGATGACATCAGCCAAGCTTGTGTGGTTTCATCTAAGGAGGGGGATTTATTTTTGATATACAAGACTGAAAATACTTAAAGCATGACATGTAAAATTATTTAAAAGATACTAAGACGTGACAAATTAAGCTTTCTTGAAGTCTTGAGTTGGAAGAAGTGGAGTGAGGGGCAGGTCATGAAGCACATAGCAGGACATAATTTAAACCAGATGTCAGAGGTCACTGCTCCTAAAGCCATTGGCTGGACTGACACGTGGAGAAGATGCTTCCAGCCATTCTCTTCTCAGCCCTGCCTGTCCCAGACTCTATCAACTCTCTTTCTCAAATTCCAGGGTTATCCCCAAGCCTGCCTTTCTTTCTTTTTTTTTTTTTTTTTTTAACTTTTATTTTAGGGTCAGGGGTACATTTGCAGGTTTGTTATATAGATAAATTTGTGTCACAAGAGTTTGTTGAACAGATTATTTCATCATCCACGTACTAAGCTTAGTAGCCACTAGTTATTTTTCCTGATTCTCTCCTTCCTCCCACCCTTCACTGTTCTCCTCTGTGTGTCCATGTCCATCATTTAGCTGGTCTCGAACTCCTGAGATCATGTGGTATTTGGTTTTCTGTTCTTGCATTAGTTTGCTGACGATAATAGCCTCCAACTTCATCCATGTTCCTGCAAAAGGCATGATCTCATTCTTTTTTACGGCTGCATAGTATTCCATCGTGCATATGTACCACATTTTCTTTATGCTATCTGTCACTGATGGGCATTTAGGTTGATTCCATGTTTTTGCTATTGTGAACAGTGCTGCAATGAACAGAGGCATGCATATGTCTTTATGATAGAATGATTCATATTCTTTTGGGTATATACTCAGTAATGGGATTGCTGGGTTGAATGGTACCTCTGTTTTTATGTCTTTGAGGAATTGGCACTCTGCTTTCCACAATGGCTGAAGTAATTTACACTGTCACCAACAGTGTTAAGCATTCCCTTTTCTCCGCAACCTCACCAGCATCTGTTATTTTTTTATCTTTTAATAATCACCATTCTGACTGGTGTGAAATGGTATCTCATTGTGGTTTTGATTTGTATTTCTTTAATGATCAGTGCTATTGAGGTTTTTTTTTTTTTAATATACTTATTGGCCACATGTTTGTCTTCTTTTGAAAAGTGCCTATTCATGTCCTTTGCCCACTTTTTGATGGGGTTGTTTGTTTTCTTCCAAGCCTGTCTTTCAATTGATTTTAAAAAACTGTGGATCTGCTTTCTTATTTTTATTTTAATTTTTTTTTTTATTTTTTGAGATGGAGTCTTGCTTTGTCGCCCAGGCTGGAGTGCAATGGTGCGATCTCAGCTCACTGCAACTTCCGCCTCCCGGGTTCAAGGGATTCTCCTGCCTCAGCCTCCTAAGTAGCTGGGATTACAGGTGCCTGCCACAATGCCGGGCTAATTTTTGTATTTTTTAGTACAGACGGAGTTTCACCATATTGGTCAGGCTGGTCTTGAACTCCTGACCTCAGGTGATCCACCCGCCTTGGCCTCCCAAAGTGCTGGGATTATAGGCATGAGCTACTGTGCCCGGCCTGGATCTGCTTTTTCTATAAAATTATATCTTTCTTGCGGTGGGAGAGCCTTTTTAAAAAGTCCTATTTTCTTTCCTTTGATAAAACTCATACATATACATGATTGAGAACATCAAAAATGGAAGAAAATGAAAAGTTAGGTCTCCTTTCTTCTGTTTACCCTTAGGTGTCTCCGCTAGAGCCGCCATTAATAGTTTTTGTTACTTTCCAGAAATATGCTATGTACATTATTTACACACACACACACACCCTCATCCTACTAGACCTCTCTGGAGTCTTTATCTCAGCCCTCCCTCCCTTCCCCCTCCTAGACACACTTGTTTCCCTTGGCCTCAGGCATGGCTCTCTGTTCTCCTGTCTTACTGACTGCTCCTTTGGAGGGTCCTTTCCTGGCTCTATTTTATCTCTCAATCTCTAAATATTGGAGGGTCCCAGCACAGTGACCTGGGACCACTTTTCTATCTGCTTCACTTCCTAAGAGATCCCTTCTCCAGCCTTATGGCTTTACGGATCACCTTCACTGCTGGCTACTGCGTCCCTGGCCTCCATGCGCCACTCCAGACCCACTTGCAATCCTTTTACTCCCTGCTCTGGGCTGGGGACTGACCCGTATGTGCTGCATCCATGGGCTCCCTTGCCCTCTGGCTTCCCACGGCCTTTGGAGGTGGGGTGGAGAGTGAGGTCAGGGTATTTGTTCTCCCTGTAGGGTTGCCATGGAGTGGCTGCATTTTTCCACCAAAGGCCTCAGCTCCTGTCAGTTGGCAACATACAAACTTGTCTACTAAAAGATAAATCCCAGGCTGGTGTGGTGGCTCACACCTGTAATCCCAGCACTTTGGGAGGCCAAGGCGGGTGGATCACCTGAGGTCAGGAGTTCAAGACTGGCTTGCTGTCTCTACTAAAAATACAAAAATTAGCCAGGTGTGGTGGTGCACACCTGTAATCCCAGCTACTCGGGAGGCTGAGGCAGGAGAATCACTTGAACCTGGGAGGCAGAGGTTGCAGTGAGCTGAGATTGTGCCACCACACCCCAGCCTGGGCGACAGAGCAAGACTCCATCTCAAAAAAAAAAAAAAAAAAGATAAATTCCCTTCCTTGGATGAAATCACATGAATTTGGATGTTGTCTTCTCCACTCAGCTATCTTTCAGTTATCTTTGTCCCCAGGTTCCAGCAACTCCCTCTTCTCACTCCTTCAGAACTATGGATGGTTAAGGACCCACTCTTACTAGCCCTGGGGGCCTACACCACCCTCCTGGTTTCTCTACATCCTGCTACTCTTTTCTAAAGGCTCCTTTTATTAAACCCTCCTCAAATTTCTCAATTCCAGGGTGCCAGCTGTCTCTCCCTGGGACCCTCTTTGCTACAAATTCCAAACAGCTCTCATGTTTCCATCACACCGGAATTCCCAATCCATGTGAGCAGTTCAGACTGATTCTTCACCTCGGTTCCCCAAAATCTTGCTCCTCCCACCAGCTTCCCTCTCCTGATGAAAGATAACTCCATACTTATAGTTACACACACCTCTTTCTCTCATACTTGGATCTGGGGCTATCAGCAAATCCTATCAGCTCTACTATCAGAATTCACCCAGAAGCAGATCATTGGGTGACATCTCCTACCACCCTGCTCCAGCCCCGCTGTATCTCCCATGGTTGCAGCAGCCCCCTTCCTAGACTCCCGGATTCTACCCTTGCCCCTCTGTAGTAGTCTCCCCTCAGCAGCCAGAGGGATCCTTTAAAACCTAAGTCGAGTCACGTCACCTCTTTGTGCAAGAACCTCCAATGGCTATGAAAGCCAAAATCCTCACAAAAGCCTAGGAAGTCCTATCTGATCTTCCTCCTCCCCTCCTTCAAGACCGTTCCTCCCACCACTGTGACCCTGCCCGCTCCTCTTCAGCTTCGCTGGCCTCCTGGCTGGTCTTCGTGTCCAAGTAAAGTCTTGTGCACAGGCTAGGCCCTACACCGGGCGGAGAGGTGACGTTCTCTCCCATCATTCTGGTCTCTGCTCTGAAATCAACTTGTCCCAGAGGCCTTCCCTGACCACCCACTCTAACATGGCACAACCCTGACATTTTCTGTACCCCTTGCTCTGACTGAGTCTCCTCCATAGCACTTATCACGACTTGATGCATTTTACTTGTTTTCCCCCATCCCCATAAGCTGTTTTGTTCTCTGTTTTATTTCCAGTATCTGCAATGTGCCATGCACTTTGTAGGTGCTCAATACATGTCTGTTGAATGAATATATACCTTTAAGAAATGACCAGGCCAGGTGTGGTGACTCACACCTGTAATCCCAGCTTTGGGAGGCTGAGGGGGGTGGATCTCTTGAGCCCAGGAGTTCAAGACCTGCTTGGGCAACATAGTGAGACCCCCATCTCTACAAAAAATTGAAAAATATTATCTAGGCATGGTGGCATGCACCTGTGGTCCCAGCTACTTTGAAGGTTGAGGTGGGAGGATCACTTAAGCCCAGGAGGTCAAGGGTGCAGTGAGCTGTGATTGCACCACTGCACTCCTGCCCAGGCGGCAGAACAACACTCTGACACACACACACACACACACACACATACACACACACACACACACAGAGAGAGACCATAATGGGGAACACAGAGCTGGCTCATAAACAGCTGCCTCATTCTTGTTCACAGCACATAGCATTCCACGGCATTTTTTAGATTAATTTCCTATGATGGACATCTAGGTGGGTTCTGACCTTCAGTACTTCAAACTATGCAGCTGAAACGATGTGCTGCTAACATAGCACAAGCATTTATCCTTGTATTTCTCAGTAGGATAAGTCCCTAGATGTGTGATTGTTAGGTCAAAAGGTATGCTCATTTAAAATTCTGATCATATTTCCAAGTTGTTCTCCAAACTGGCAGACCCAGCCAGTTCTCTCTCCCTGACAACAGTGGATAAACACTGCTGTTTCCCCATCTGCTCCGACACCATGCAGTATCAGACTTTTTGATCTTGGTCAGTAGGGATCGGTATTTCTGTGTTCAGTCGTCATTTCTCTAATATGGTAGTGAAGCCTAGTTTCCTTTGGAACTTTTCCAGGGATCACACCGGCCAAGGCCTGATTGGAGACGCCTGGGACCCTGCCGAGCTAGCCGGCCCCTCAACCCTGGCCGCAGCCACGACTCCGAGCGCTGCTCCTTCTTTTTCTGCACTTTCCTTTCTCCCCCACAAGCTTCTGATTCTTGGAACCAGGCTTGGTGACCTCACGCGAGTGACTTCATATCCGGGACTTTCTGGGAATTCTCAGCAGCACTTTTTCGTAAGAAACGTAACGCGGGGTGGGGGGGGGGGAGTGGGTGGGGAGGGGGTGGTGGGCGGAGCTTTTGAGGAAGAAGGGAGAGAACAGCTCAGGGCCCGCTTCCTCCTTCCGATTAGGTCGGGTGGAGCTGGCAGGCGGGCGGGCCAGCTGCAGCCAGCGAAACCCGAGTACCGCCCCCTTGGCCTGCAGCAGGACACCCGCGCGCCTGCCTTCCGGGACGCAGGTGGGGGTTGGGGCGCGGACCTCAGTCCTCATAGCGCCTGATTTGGGACCAGGGAGTTGTTCCTGAGGGTTCCCAAGCAGAGCCTCTGCTAGAGTTTTCTTCGGAAGTTAGCTGGGCATCTAACTAGGCAGCTCTGCCACAGGTTGCGGGGAGGGTCAGCATAACCAAAACCAGAGCCCCATTATGATTTTTGTGGACCCTAAGTACTTTTGCCTTAATGGGCTCCTTTTCCATAAAAAAAAATTTTAAAGTATATTTTACGACTGTGGTGGTATAAAGCCGAATAGGTTAATGTTATATATTCAAACAATGTCTTCGGCCTGAAAGTTTGTTTTTCCCTTCTGATAGTAAAATAAGTTAAAACATTGTCATGAGTTTCTAAAAGTATTGAGGACCCTAGGCACTGTTGCCCCCTGTGCCGGATGGGTGAGTTGGCCCTGGGTAAAGTCAGGGCGATGTGACACAGCCTGGAAAGAACATGAAAGGATCTAGAAGATAGAATTCTCCCCTCCCGGAGGAGGCCATAAACACAGTAACAGCTGCACAGGAAGGGCCTTGAATGACCTAAGAAGCGTGGATTTTAAGGTGACAGAGGTGGTGAGAAGCTGCTGCAAGGCTGGATTGGAGGACTGATGGTTTGGGGGTGGCACTGGTGGTGGGGAGAGAAATGAGGAGGCTGTTGCTGCGGTACAGTTGGATGTTGGAGCTCACAGATCAACGTAGAAATGAAGCAGGGGGCAAGGGGAAGAGGTACTTGGGAAGCCAAAGCCCACTGATATGAGGCGGTAATGCAGGGAGAAGCCTGGGCTATCTTCTCTGGCTTCGGTGAATGGCAGATGCTGCCAGCCCTCTTGGAAAACAGGAAGACAGGAGGAGAACCTGTATGTGCTCCAGGACTTTGGGAAGATCAAATGGAAGGTCTTTCACAAATAACAAAGCAAGGAGACTTCCAGTAACTTCACAGGCTTGTGGGCAGCTTCAGGGCCACCTCTTGCCCAGATCCTGCGATTGTTCTTAACAGGCATTCTAACCCCACCCCTGCTGCCTGAGCTGCCTCCCCAAAGCTCCATTCTTGTTGGGCCACTTTCCTGCTCCCTATGGCCTGGAGGACAAAACCACCTCACTTGGACATTTCCAGGATAAAGAATGAGGAAAAGCAGACTAAGTTTTTAATACCCTTTCAGTAGAAAACTGTCCCAGAAACTCATTGGCTACCTACTTCTTAATTCCCAATAACTGTTTTTATGTGCACATCTCCACCCCCATAATAGTCTTGACTCCCACCCTCAAATATGAACACTGGGCTTTCTCCAGAGCAGATCAGGCCAAAATCAAGGGCTGGGACAGGAAATACACTTGCAGGGAGAAGAGCTGGGCTTGAATGACCTCTTGAAAGATAATCCTTCATGTATTCACTCTAAAACATGAATTTAGCACTTACTATGTGTTCTGGCACCATTCTAGCACTGGGGATGCAATAAAAATCAAATGAGATGTGGTTCTTCATGGAAATGCTACTTCAGTAGGGGGAAGACTGACTGTGGAGATGTCACTTTCCAAAGACGTATGCATGTTCTAGAATTTTGCCTCTCGCCTACCAAAAGGTGATGTCTAATACCCCCTTCCTTTCAATCCGGGCAGACTTGTGACTCACTTGTAACCAACAGGATGTACAGATGTGATTTTTCATGACTTCTGAGACTAGGTCATAAGAGGCGATACAGCTTCTGCCTTGTTAGGTGGGACATGTCTTTGGAGCCCTGAACTACAACTTAGGAAGTTCGACAACCCAGAGATTGCCATGTTGTGGGGAAGCCCAGGCCACATGGAGAGGCCACATGTGTGTGTTCTGGCTGACATCCCTGCTGACCTCCCAAACATTGTGGCACAGAAACAAGCCATGCCAACTGTGCTCTGTCCCAAATTCCTGTTTGGGGTGGTTTGCTATGCAGAAATAATATCTAGAACACTAAGAAACAAGGGAATAAGTGAGCAAGATAATTTCATATTGTGAGAGGAAAATATGGGAAAACATAAAGCAGCGTGAAAACAAGGGCCTCTTTAGGTGGGGGAAGCGGGGAGGACTGATCAAGAAAGGTCTTTCTGGAGAGACATTGGAACTGAGACCTGAGTGAGAAGGAGCTCAACCACTAACCATCTGGGAGAAGAGACTTTCAGCCAGAGGGTTCATTAAGTACAAAGGTCCGGAGGCAGGAATCAGCTTGGTATGTTCCAAGAAGGGCAAGAAAGACAGTGTGACTAGGGTGATGTGGGTGAGGAGGAGAGTGGGGCCAACGAAGTTGGAGAGGAAGGCAGAGAGGCAAGTCATTCTGGTCCTACAGGTCACTGAGAGGAGTTTGGATTTAAGACTGAGTGAGCTGGGGAGCCGGTGGAGGGTATTATGCAGGAGTGCCTGGATCTGGTAAACTCTTATTAATAAAAGTTCCTGCTGCCTGCTGGAGGACAGAGTGTAAGGACACACAGGGCAAAGGGAGGAGGATCATTGGGGAGGCTACGGCAGTGCCTCATCCCCCAGGGAAGGGAGGATGCACGATGGCTTGAGACATGGTGATGGCGGTGAAGATGGGGACTGGTGGACAAATTCTGGACACAGAGGCAATGACAGAGAGTACCAGCGAGGGAGGAGGCGCCCAGTCCTGCAGGTCCCGAGCAGGATCTAGACATGGGTGAGGACGGGAACCCGCTATCCGTCTGGAGTCCGAAGGGAGCCTCAGCGAGAGGGCTGGCCAGGATGGCGCGTCCTGGCGTCCGTCGTCTGCAGTGCAGAGCCAGTCCCTGGCTGCGCTCCTGCCGGACGTCTCCCAGCAACAGCCGCCGCCGCCCGAACGTTCTGAACTCGGCGGCCCCTTAGCTCTCATCGTCGCCTCGGCGACGGCCGGTGGGAACACGCCCTGCGGGCTCCGGGGGCGGGGTCTTGGCGCCACGCGCTCCGCCTCCCGCGGGGTGCGCCTTCAGCCCCGCCCGCCCCCTCCCTTCCTCGGCGGCACGCGTGGCCGCAGGTGTGCAGGGCGCCCGGAGCGGCCTCGCCGAAAAGCCGCTTCTCTGTGCACGCCGCCGCCGGCGCGCACCACAGGCCCAGCCACCTCTCCCCACTCTTCCCCTCAGGCCGCCATCTTCAACCAACTGGACTGAGTCTTCTGTCATTCGGGTCACCTCCGCTGAGACGCCTTCCCTGACCACCCAAGTTGAAGGAACTGCCAACATTTCCCTCTTGGACTTTGTGTTTTATTTCCTTCACAGTATTTCTCCCCTCTAAAATTATCTTGTCTGCTTCTACCTATATTGTCTTCCCTCTTGAAACCGAAGTTCCATAAGCTGAGGCAGAAATTCTGCCTTGTTCATCTCTGTTGTCAGCACCCTGAACAGAGCCTGGCATGAATGAGGTGCTCAATAAAAGTTACTTGGATGAATCGGCAGATTTCCTCAATCATTTCATTCATTTATGCATTCATTTATTTGACATTTATGGAGTGCCTTCTAGGCACTTGTGGTAAAGAGGTACCAAGATGAACGAGACAGGGATACCCCTGGAGGTAAGAAAGAAGAGATGTATTTTTTTTTAATTACGATAATACTAAAAGTGAATGTCTTTGAGTTCCAGATGCCAGGCATAGCTTCAAGCTCTTTATACTTTCTAGCGTTCCATTATTGGAAAGCTAAGCATGTGGGAGTTATTTGTCCGACAGCTCAAGGTCATTGCCTATATAGGCTGCTGGGCCCTGTAATCAAGTGAGATCCCGCAGAAGGCAGGGGACCAACAAGATTTGTGTACCAGGCCCAAGCAGGTGGATTTGGTACCTTGATTATTCTCGACACAGCACAGTCTCCCACAGGGCACAGGCTCCTTCCAGATCAGAGCTGTGTTGTCCCAGGAGAACCCTACGCATATTGGCTGAGCAGGCAACGAGGGGCCTGTGAGGGTTGTGGAGGGTTAGGCCCTGGGTTAGGGGTAGGATAGGGCCTATCTCTTCCATTGAAGCAAAGTGTGAGTAACTTTCCACATAAACTTGGTGTGAGGCAAACCTAGTTTCAAACGCCTGGATATCCAGGAAATCCAGGAACTAAATTTATTCCACCTCGGGGTCTTTGCAAGTGCTCTTCCCTCCACCTAGCATGCTTCCTCCCCCGATTTGCACATAGTTGCTCTTTGTCATTTAGATCTCAGCTGAGGTGTTTTTTCCTTAGAGAGCCCTGCCTTGGCCATGCCACAGTCTAAGGCAATCACCTGCCATTGTCGCATGACCATATTTTAAGACTTTTATCCCAAAATGGGAGAGTGGCCTAGTCAGATGCATCACCCTATTCCTGATCTAATTTTTCTTATATATTGTCTCTGTCTCCTCATTCTAAAAGGTTCCCTGAAAGCGGGACCCCATTGGACCTCACCTCTGTATCCCCATTGCCTAGAACAGGCCTGGAACACAGAAGATGCTTAGTGATTTTTGAAAGACAACTTGAAAAGGGCCCTTCACCAAAACATCCTGACTTTCTAGGCCAGGATCTGTGCACTCCATTTTCCAGGAACCCCTGCTTGGCACACGACACCTGGGCTGAACAGGCAGAAGTGACCCAGACATCTTGGGCAGAGGAATTCTCCTGGCATGAGTTCCTCCCGCTTCCCAGGCCTGAATGGGCTGCTCTCCAACTCTGGGGCAGGATTCTAAGAACCCCTCCAGGATGGTGTTCAAGAACATCCAGGAGGGGAGATCGAGATAGAGAGGGCAGCACTGTGTGTGTGTGTGTGTGTGTGTGTGTGTGTGTGTGTAATGGGGATAGGGGCAAGGAGACTAGAAGTGTGGGCAGGGCATTTCTGGTTGCCAGCCAAGATGGAGGAGAAGGGGTGGCTTTTAGAGCCTTCCCACACTACTGTTGCTAGGAAGACGAGGCACCTGGAGGTTGTGGCTGTTTTCTCCCCCTGCAGTGGGAACACAGACTGGAACAGATGTACACACAGTCAGACATGCACAGAATAGAGAATAAAACTTGGATTTATTCAGACCGTATGCTTCCCATTTGGGGTGCAGAGTGGGGGACAGTTGTGGGGACAGAGAAAGGCAGTGCATTTGGCTTCTAGGGATATGCTGATTGCTGACTCTTTGTCTGACCTTTGGGCCACCAGATGACCAGCTGAATGATGGAGATGGTGATGAAGGGGCTGGCGGCCCCTTCTGGAGACCTCACAGTGATTCCAAACAGAGACCAACGCTGTGTCCAGTTGGCTCTGTTCCTCTCCAGAGATTAAGGAGCAGATGGCTGGGAGCATTCAGACTAATAAAAAAAAAAAATTAAAACTCTGGGTAGAGGGACACTCTGGGGGACTCCAACTCAGGCAGTGGTGTGCAGATTCACACATGTCCATGCATGGGCCAGGCCTGTGTGAGAAACATGTGTGTGTCTGTACATATTACATCCTCCACAAGGATGTAGCTGGGAGCCCCCGTCCTACCCCCACGCCTGTGCTACTCAGTGGGCCTCTTCCAGACCTTTCTTTTTCCATTTGGAAGAACTGGGCCTACTGAAAGAAGTGATGAAAGGGAAATGGCCCACAGTAATCCTCTGAAGATACCCTTTCCTCTTGGTCCTTGCTCCAGTGTGCAGGAGGCAGGCACCCACCTCAGTCCTGGGGCAGTGGAGGCCAGGAACAGGTGGCAGGTGTGGTGGGAGGCGGTGGGCCTCACTGGGTAGCTGGCTGGGAGTAGCTGCAGGACACCTGCACCATCTCAGCTTCTGTCAGGTCACTGCTGAACCCAGCTGGGCTGTGTAGGAACTGCCTCAGCAAGGGGGAGGCGTGGAGCCCGAGGTGAGAGCCTGGGCTCCTGGGTGGCTCTGCCTGCTCGGTGACTGTGGTGGAAGACATGAGGACTGTGTTCCCAAACTGGTCCACCTCCTCATACTGCTCAGTCACGGTTCTCATGGCTCCATAGTGCTGTGAGCTCCCTGGCCCAGTCTGTAGCTCCAGAACACTCTTTTGCCGCCCTCTGGGCAGGGGACTTGCTGAGGGAGGGGCAGGCTCAGGTTGCACAGAGCACTGGGTGATGTCCTTCTTCCCAGCCTTGTCTTGGACACCTTTCTGCTGGAGCAGGGCCTGGCCTATGTCCTGAGCCGCTTGTGTGCTTTTCACTGAGATATCAGGGTTACCCTTAAAGCTAGAAGTCTCTAGAGGCTTCCTTGTGGCTGACTGGATGGAGATAAATGTTGGGGAGGAGGGCGAATCTCGCCTGGAAGGTAAGACCCGAGGGAGGCACAAATCTTCCCTTGATGTCTCCTGCCTCCTGGTGGAAAGGGCAGTTGAGGCTGCGTGACTTCTGGCCTCTGTGTGATTTCTGATCTTGACTTGATTCTGGGCCTCAGTGTGGCATCCAACCTTGGTTTGGTTCTCGACTGCAGTTTGACCCCCGACCTCCTGGCCTGAGCCACTGGGCCTGGCACTACTGCTGACTGTGACACTGATCTTGTGGGCACTGTGGTCTTTTGGAGGTCCCTGGAAGTGGCCGCTGGCGCTGGCCTCAGGCTGGAGGCTAGACATGGAGCTGAGTGCCTTGTGCACAGCCTCTTCAATGTCCAGCAGCCTTGCCAAGGTCTGTTCCTTCAGTCGAGCGACCTCCGTGCTGACCCGTGTCAGTTCCCCAAATGCCTGCTCCACTGAGGCCTCAGGTTTTTGGTGGGCAGCAGGAGCCTGAGGAGCAGCCCCTCCCAGCTGGGGCACAGCCTCAAACAGCCTCCGCAGGGCCTGCACATCCACACTGCTTGCGGCCTCCTTCTCAAGGGCTTGCACCTGGTTCAGGAGGCCCTGGAGCTCCTTCTGGTTTCTTTGCAGACTCTCAGGGCTCTCAGGGGCCCCTTGGTGGGAACCTTCCATGGGCTGCTCTCCTGAGGTGCTGGGGCCCCACTGCAGTGAGGTGGAATCACGGTTGAGGGCATTGAGCTCGGGGGGCTCAGAGCTCTGGGCATTGCTGCCTGTAGCCTGATTGTTGGTGGGCCTGGGTGCCGTGGTGCTGAAGCCATGTTGGGGACTGGGCTGGCTATGTCCACTGGGGTATCTGGCCAGAGGTATGTGGCCCTGGCCTACAGTGGTGGGAACCTTGACTGGCTGAGGGATGGCTGCATCTGTCTCACCTCGTTGGTGTTCCCTTTGCCCCACCTCTGAGGAAAAGCTGGGAGATACAGGCAAGGGCTTGGGCAGCCTCTGAGGAGGGTGGCTCTGGGTTAGGTGTGCAGGTTTAGGGGGCAGCTGCGGCTTCTTCTTTGGGGGCATGGTGGGCTCCAGTTTTGAGGTCTTTGTCTGTGACCCTCCAGGGGTTTTCTGGCCAGCAGGGCTGCTGTGGGGGTGAAGAAGGGGGTCCTTCAGGGGCTCAGAGGCCTGCTGGATGGAGTCCTCGTCACGGCGGGCTCCGGCTGGAAAGTCAGGTCCTGTCACAGCAGCTGGGAGAGTAGGAGGAGGAGGAACAAAGGCATTATGGGGGTGCGGGCTGGCACCTGCGGCTTGGGGCCCAGAGGCCAGATTGTGGCTGCCTAGAGGGGCAGTCTTCAGGGTGGTCTCTGCAGCTTGGAGGTCCCCTGGGCAGACTTCTGCCATCAACTTCCCTGGAGGCCCCCAGGCCATCTGTGCGCGGCCCCCAGGCTCCTCCCGCCCTGGCCCAGTACTCTGACCTGGGCCTCCCTGGAGTGGGCGGGGAGCCCGGACTGAGAGGGCAGTCTCCCTGCGCCTTGACTGGGGTTCCCTCTCAGAAGGCTGGACACCCCCTGGTGGGTCAAAGGTCCTCACGGGATGAGCGGTGTAGATGCCGTCCTGAATTGTCACCCACCCCCCAGGCAGCCCTCTGGGTAGTGCTCGCTCTTCCCCACTGACCTTTCTGGGGGCTGCTGGGATCCGGGGATCAATTCCACCCCCAGGCCTGATGTTGCTTTGGGTAGCCCCAGCTTTCCGAAGACCGTCCTGGATGGGGTTGGAAGTGGCTGCGGGGGTGGGGCCCTGCTTGTGCTTATTCAGAACTTGCTGGTGCAGGCTCTGGGCTTCAGCTGTTGCCATACGCAGACTCTGCATGGCGGCCAGGAGGTCTGGGGCCCCAGGCCCCGGAGAGGTAGTAGTGGCTCCTTCTGACTTTCCCAAGACTGCCATCCCTTTCTGTCCAGAGTGACTGTCTTCCTGCTTTTCTGTGTTTTGCAACTGGGCTGGTGCTGCAGCTTCCCCAGCCAGAGGGACTGCCTTTCCAATGGACTGAGGAGGGCAAGGGATAGCTTGCCCTGAGGCTCTCAGATGCCCCATCCCCATGCTGGGGTCCAGTGGGGGAACATGGATGATGCTCTCAGCTGGGGGCAGGCTCTGGCCCCCCTCGCTGGCTGGCACTGGACTCGGGTCAGCCGGGGGCTCCCACCGCAGACTGTGCAGGCCACTCAGGTCTCCTTTGTCTATGCA